GGGGATGTCATTTGGTGGAATTACTTCTTTGATGCCAACGAAAGGGTCGTATGTAATGCAAAAGTGCATGGGCGTTATAAAGTCCTATATATCACACGTCTGGGTTCGAGTGCCCTAGTAATTAAACATTTAAAAGAGTTGTTGAAATACCGATCGATGTCGTGCTTATTATTGTTTGTCACGCACCATGTATATTAACAGTAAATTTTTAATTTAATTATTAAAAATAACATGCCATTTGTTTTGTATTTGTATTCATAAATAATGTAAAGATAAATAATAAATGTGTACTCTTTACGATAGATGTAAAAAAATACACAATAAAGTATATTAAAATATTGTGTAGCAACCCTAGCTTGAGCCGGAGCTCGGTCGATAGATACGCGTCTCCCAGCGAGCTCCGGAGGCTGCGCGCGCGACCCACTGACCCGGCCCTTGCTTCCCAAAAGAAGCGAAAAACGCCCTTAAAATACTGCGCACTTTATGCCAGCACTAATAACTAGGCTCTTCAACAACATATATTTTAATTAATCAAGGATATACAATGCATCCATTCTATGTTTGAACTTTGCTGACCCCTTACTTTGTTGGAGGTTAACGAACTAAGCGTTTACAAGCACTACGTAATAGGTTGTACTAGATACCTATCTCTGTGATCTATATGTACTACGTCACGCGACATTGTTGGTATCCATTTATGTTTAATACGGGTCATTGCGTAATACTATAGCACATTATTTAAATGGCTAGTCTTAAAAATGTCCTTAGTGGCTTTGAAAACAAAACAATATGTGTTTATTCTTGTAGATTACATCCTTCTTGAAGGATGGAAAGACGTGCTGAATAATATGTTCTAATAGTAATACCTTATTACACAACATCTATTGTGTTAATGAACTCCGAATGAGTTAAAATTTAATTAGTAGGTTACAGTACTGTGACAAAATTAACATGCGACTGTTAAAAATTGGGAAACAAGTACATTACATAACTGAAGTCTAGTTAAATTAGTCCGTCAGCTCTCAAGACTTATATTAGTACTTGAGGTAGACAGAGATGGTTAACATAGTCAAAACATATCGACGTTTTAATTTAAAAAAAAAAAACTTGGCAGAAATCAAACCTGACAACCAATAGATACTACAATTTTATAATATTTCTAACTGTTTATTTCTTAAATTATTTTCTCATCTGGTTATTTTATTTACCATGAAAAAGAATTTTCTTTAACTATAATACAATACATTTTGTATACCACAAATCTCAAATGCTTCTAGAATATAAGAATATAATCTTTTGTACAAATACAATGGACAACTTGAGAAAATCTTTTGTGAGAAAAAAAAGACGCCTACTTGTGCTGAATATATTTCAGTCAGTAGTGGCTATTAAAGCATTCACTTAGGTTCTCTAGCATTGAAATAATTCTATTGTAAGAACGAAGTTATTTTCCTAGATAACTTTTAACACCGATGTCCTCCGAGTTAGAGCGGGCGACCTTTGACTAAACTGTCGCACCACAACTGTTGTGCGATTGTCGATTGTTTCGCAGCAAATTCAACTTGTTGCCATGGTCGTTTGCACTAACAGTTTAGTTGCACAACTAATAGTCGAGTTGTGTGCGTACCACCATATAAGTTCATAGGAATCAAAGCGCGACTAAATAATTGTGCGATAGTTTAGTCAAATATGTGCCCGCGCTCTTAATTGTAATGTATATTAACCGTAGTGGAGTTTCAAATCTTAACAGTTGTAGAGCGCTTTAAAGTGATTTAAAATCCCGTTAGCATTAAAGTGCATGCAAGAACATTTGTAAATGACAAATCATAGTTACAATATCAAACATTTTTTGGTTCTCGCGGAAGATCAACGCTGGGTGCTTCGATCAGAAGTATCCAGCATTTATAGCTGAGCGAGGACCCAATCCGGTCAGCACTGCAATACACATTTTAAATACTCTGTTTGTCCTGTAATTACGTGTTTATTATTTTTTTTAATTACTTTGTGTTTTTTTCTCTTATTCCTAATTATGTTGTAGTGTTGATAAGAGTAAATGTTATTTTGTTTTATTTATTTAAACTTGAAACAGAGTCTTCAGAAACTGTCGTAATCTTTAGCGCGCGGATTAAGATGCAGACGTTCATTGAATGCATCCCATCGCTAAGTATGCGAGACCAGACGACAGTCGCGTCTCAGCAATTCAAATGAGAGTTTAAACCCGTCAATGACATAATATAATCGGCCTTGTATCGCACAATACACACTTGCATATCGTTTTGGTCGGTTGACTTTAAACGCACCCATTAATGGGCCTGAGACTCGCACGCTGTTGTCTAGACGGATAAGGCTGAGTGTTCATTGTCCCTGGAATTATTCGATTCCAGTTAGTAATCTAAACTTCTATACTAATATAATAAAGCGTAAACACACACTACTTTGTGGCTAAGGATGTCTGTAATAACAGCATATTTTTAAATAATTTTTTCATTCATAAAAAGCCCTACACTTACGACACACTTTAGGCTATATATTTTCACGCTATTAAACTTAGGGGATAAATAAATCGGAAAAAACCTTCATGTGGGAAAGGGACCATAAACTACAAGCTGCCAACATCAAGGAAACAACGTTGCCATTGATTGATTGTTAGATACCTCCGATGTCAGTCCTTCGTTGTTATTTATGTATTTGAATTTTGGATATTTGCAATGAGAGAATTTGATAAATCTAAACAATAAGGGTTTATAATTTCACGCGTATTAAGCCGTACAAGAACAGCTAGTCTTTGGTTAAAACTACATGGTTAGATTTAAGGTCATTTGTGGTAGTTAAGTAACTGCTGATTGGACAAAGATGTAACCGAAGAGAAAAATTGCATGACTGTTTTTATGATACGTATAATCAAACTATTTAATTAGATGCTATAACGATATCTGTGTGTGACTATTAGTGATTATCTATTTGTATTCAAGTTTCCAGGATAAATGAACATCACGCAAGAAATGACATAAGCATAATTAAACGAATGTTTTTAGAAATGATAACATCATTCTTTACGTTATTTCTGTCCCCAGCAGATTGAGGATTTGCATTTTTTTATTTTGACAGTTTTATCATTGACGAAAACATCTTTTTATTTTAGTGACAAATCATTATTCACGTCAGAGAGCTATCATAATTATTCTTAACAACATTGTCGTGACGATATCGATAAAATTGGTATTAGATTTGTGCAGTGGCCCAACAGATCAAATAAATCAATAAATTTCATATAACAATTGTCGGTGAAGATACAAATGAGTTTTCGTAATTGTTATGTAGATATTCGTGATAGCCTCTAACACTTAGCTAGAAAACACAAAATATATGTGAGGTTATGAATGGCCTGACATGTTTCCTTCTAGTTAGCATTCTTTAAACTAGATGGCGCTAGACGACACTTAAATGTAACAAAAAATAAGAGTCACTAACTTCTATAGTAAACAATCGCATGATTAATCCTAAAATACAAAGCATTTTTTGACATGTATAAAGGCATGACAAAATTGTAGAAAACATTATTACCGACCAAATTAGTGACAGCCTTTACAGGTCGATATTTGACCATTTGGCTGGTGTTAAATATTGTTAGTTATGGAGTTTACACTAAGAACATGTAGGAAATCAAAGTACCAGTTTAATCCTTACATCCGGGAATCAAGGCAGTGACCGATTACATGTCCACGTTCGACAACGCACCACTGCCTTCCTGACCGCGCTTAAATAAACCTAACACGAATCAAACGATTATAAACTTTACTACAAGGACGTAAAGTTCATTATTCATTGATTTAAATATCGCACGTGCTTTATTGGTACGCGTACCATTTAATCGATTGACCGTCCATCCGAGGTAGAGCCGCTTTGATTACAGCTTCCTCTCCTTTGTGTATTTTTAAACTATTGAGGCTTTTTTAATAAAACGTTTTATACGTAACATAATAGGGCTATAACCCATTTGATAGGTTAAGTGTGATATATTCTTATTAGTGGTAAATGTTGCCAGTTTTTTTTTAAATTATACCATAGATCTTACTAATCTTACTAATATTATAAATGCGAAAGTTTAGATGGATGGATTTCAATGAAATCTGGCATAAATAGGTGTGGGGGATAGTCAAGAGGAACAAATAGAATGCCTATTTTCGTTTTTTTTTTAATCCCACGCGGAAGAAAACTAGTATACAATAAACATGACACTATATATGTTTTTTTATGAGAATGTGAAGAAACAACAAATTATTTTAAGTCGAAACTCACTGTACGAATATAACGTAAACAAATAATATTTTCTATGTCCGTATATTGCATATGGACTATGGTCCAGTACTTTGCAGTCAAAAGCAATACCATTACGATTCGCAGCACAAAGCGACTACAAACACGTTTGTTGTGTTGTCGCTTGTTGTTATACCTAATGAGATGCATCGTCCACTGCCTTCTATCTCGATGCTTTCAAATAACCTTTTGAACGCACGTAATTATATGTGATCATAAACGGACCTCCCCTTAAATTACAAGAGAATTTTCAATATACTATATTGTAGTATGTGGGGCCTACGAAGATATCGTCATGCTATCAACGCAGATATTAAATACAATATTTGGAAATAATATGAAGCCCTATAAACCAGCAACATCAAATACCGTAATTTATCATCATCATCAACTTCCCCTTTCCCTTATGGAGGGTCGGCACAGTATGTGCTGCTCTTCCATACATCTCTATCAGCCGTCATATCTGAATCCACTCCTTTCTTAAGCATATCCTCTTTCACACTATTAAATAATTTATCTTCACCTATAAATTTCAAGGTCATATTACTCACATTAGGGTACGTAAAGATCTCGAAATAGACGAACAGTTCCACAAGCGAGGTGTTCGGACACGAGTAATCAATTTGATTTGTATCTTAGGTACTCACTTGGCATTTTTGGGCGTAGTGTCCGGCTGACAGCAAGCTCTGTACCGTAGTACTGCTTCTGTGGGCGACAGAGCGTCCGTCTCATCCGCGGGCGCCTCGCATTCATCCGTCACCAGCGGTGCCCGCGCCGGCGACGTATGCGAACCGTACCCGTCGGAATTCAGCTAAAACAGATATCATTTTTGTAAAACACTATGAATTTAACAGGGAGAGCAGGGTACTGGATAGTTAATGAGCGATTTATGCTGGGTTTCTGAAGTTCCCACTTATTTGGTACCATCTTTCGATACATTAGTATTGGTTGACGTATGTTTCAACGGAGTAAAACCTTAAAATAAGTTGTACGGTAATGTACTTAATGAATTTATCGAACCAAAAAAATTAACGAATGGTTAAACGTAGCTGGGAAACCGGTCATAAGGCAGCTGTAGATTATCTAATAATTACGATACAACAATGCCTTTCTTGTCTTCTTACCTTAACCCTTTCAATAATTAAATTTACCAGGAACTATTAAGTATGCCTCGCGATACGGAGACGGATCTTAAAATATCTGATGATGTAATAGATGACGAAACAGTAAACACAACAATGCATAAATATTTTATAATTACCATAAATAATTACTGCTTACAATAGATGGTAATTAGAAGTGTTTTTATAGTTTTTTTAATCCCAATTAATAGACTTAACAATCTAAGAAACTGTTAGATCTTACAAGTTCGTTATAGAGTTACATAAATTAAGAAAACCATAAATTCAATTTTTACAACATGTGTCGGCGAATTTAAGCTGTTTACTAACTAGTGAAATATTTCTAAACTATGAATGTCCTTGAATTGAGGTGTTGTTTATTTTTGCACGAGCATTATTACCACATTCTTTGAGAGTTTTAAATTTATGTATGTAAACATTTACTTTGTTCTTTGTTAGAAGTTTCTATCCTATCCTTTTCATTGTATAATTCGGTATTTATTATATCAACAGTTTCCTTTTATATTTATGTTGTAGGCCACACTTTACGTTCTGCATGACGTTTTATCCTGTATAGGCAACTGACCAGGCATATCTGAATCTTATAGTAAACTGTACAGCGTATACACAAAGCTTCGCATGTTCAACGCCGCCATTCAATTTGTAATGTGTTGCGTTTATAATGGTGATGAGGATGACATCTTACTTTGACGATGGTGCCGACCTGGGTGTCTTGAATTTGTTCGAGTGCGCGGTCACGGGGTCCCTCCCCCGCTAACCTCGCCTCCCGCGCCTCTCTGGCCTCCCTCGTGTCCGGGGTTTCGGGGGGCGCGCCCAGCAGCCGCTCCTTCATCTCGTGGATGTAGGGGCAACGCTGCATCGCGATGTAGAATTCACGTACGCGCACCTGGACAAACATCATGTTTTACTAACCAATTCAAAATGAAGTGTGAAATGAAGACAAGATGAAGAAACAGCTTTGTATGCAGCAACTCTAAAACTAATGAGCCGTTTTCAAAAATTAATTCACCGTTAAAAAGCCATGTTATCAGTAACATAGGCTATTTTTGTGTTTAATTTCACGCGGACGCAGTTGCGAGAAACAGCTAGTCATGACACATTGTAAAAAGAAATGTAAGACATATGCTTGAATAATAAATTTAAGCGAGTGTTATAGTATTCGTTTAAACATAAAAAGTTCATATTAAAACTAAAGTCTATTTAACAACGATCGATCTAAAAGCGGTAAACTTTCACGTGACAACGGCTCATTAAAACTTTTATAAACATATTGACCACGGAACTGGAACAACGAGTTGATAGAGTCGATATTTCTCAATGTCAACTTTTAAATTTATTCGCTCCACTTATTGCCCTGCTAGTTATTTTAAGTACATGTTATCCAGTTCTTAATGTCGACAAAAAAGTTAGCGGGGCTTAAATTCTTCTCCTTTGATATTTCTGTCTTGATTCTTTATAGTAATTTTCAATAACACGATATTTTTTTTACTACCTACTTCATTAAAAAACGAGAAAATGAGAAACATGGTATTGTTTCAAATATGTTTCGATTCGCCAACAAAAGTTAATAGCAAAAGAAAATCTAATGCATTATTTTTTTTAAAATACTAACCTAAGTAAAAAAACATTTGATGTTAAAGTACAAATTTTGATTACAAACTTGCACTCTATTTCAAAGAGTCAAACGTGTTTTCAATTTCCGGTACATTTTCTAAATTAATTCCAGAATCATCCTACGGTAACTTTGAAAAAAAAAAACTAGGTTATACCTCTATAAAAATTCTTCCGTCAGCAAAAATCCAGATATTAAAACTTTTCCAATGAAAGGGAAATAAATTGAAAACAAATATTTTCTGAACAGAATACAGTTTTTGAAACAAAAATTTCAATTGAGTAACATAGTTTTTGTAGTACTTTCTGTTATAGTAAAATTTTACATAAGAATTAGGCTTATTTATTTTCCTTTTATAAGTACCAGTTGTATTTATCTAGACATGAATATATTATAAAAATTCAATATGTTCTTAAACAAATTGACAAACCCGTTCAAGTTAAAATACGCGAGACTTTTCCTCCATCAATTTCTCAGCTACAAAGATTGTCAATTAGCAGTAACTCAAATCTCGAGGAAAGGGTTGTTATCCAATAAAATTACAGTGAAACCCGACACTAAAACGAGTCATTTAACTACGACTAATTGAATAACGATCGTGGCCGTAACCAGACCTTGTCAATTTTGTAGTTCTATTCGTTATATTTTGATTGGTTACTAAGTCATTTTGTAAGCCACCATTTAGTATTAAAGACATTATTACTTTTTGAAAAAAAAATATTAGAGTACTAAGAGTGGGAGTCCTGATAAAAGATTCCTACAAAAGCTTGGAGCTTTGAGCTTATTTTTCATAAGCACAATTATCTACGATATAAATGCTGATACGTTCCTGTGCTGTTTCGCTTTTTATCGTGCGAGTGAAAAGCATTCATTGAATACTGGGTCCCATCCGCATTAATGTGGGTGGCAAGCCTTCATAGTCTCCGTGGTTGGTATCAACTATAGTATGAATTTAGAAGGTTTTTCTTACATTACAGTTATGGTGTAGGACGTCGATTTCAAATATAGGAATGTAGAGTCCAAGATATGTTCCAAAATGTAGACGTTAGTTTTTTTACAATAAACGGAGACATGTTGCAAGGATTATCTCATGTTAGGCATTTGTAAACTTTTTCGACAGCTGGAATTAAGTATATTGGCAATTTTTTAAATTTATTAGATAATTAAAGAAGTGAGGGAAAAAATGATTTTTTTATGTTGTTATATTCATATTTGCGTATATTACACACACGTTACAAATTGCGAGTTGTGACTTAACAAAGCTATTGTTTGCGATCGATTCGACATAAATGAGGTCAGGAGGTCACTGGACTGTGACCAACAAGTAACAAATATAAACTGCCTGTTAAACCTAGGTCCTAGGAAGTTGTAAGATCGAATTTCAAACTTGAACTCGAAACATAATCCAGTGGAATTAACTGCGAATAAAGAAGTCATTGACAATCACACTGATGCCTTTTAAATAATATTTCTTTATGAAGGTCATGTTTTTGTATGTAGTATTTGAACGCAGCTTTTAAATAACTTTTTGCTTAGTTTTTAGATTTGGAAATTTTAGAAGGTTTGTTATTATAGTTAATTGAAAATACAGAAGGTAACGGCCTATGACCAGAAGTGGGTTGATATAGTCTCATGATTTAGTAATATTTATCCCTGTATACTGTAATTACTTATCTCGCTTAAAGTTTTGTTACATAAAATTTTAAAATTGTAAATGTATTTTCGTTCGATTCCTTCTTTTGTTTCGTCAAGGCTGAATGCTTCAAAAGTCGAGGGTTTCATGCCTAATCAATCACAAGCCACACTCGACCTTGAGAGACACTTCCGACTCGACCGAACTGCGAAATAAATTTGTTCTCACACAGACAAAAGTTACTTCCAAAATGTAACATAAATGTAAATTAAGTATAAGTCACTCGTTAAAGTTTTATTATTCTTGTACTACGGTTACACCGGATATGAACAGCTAGAATTCTATTCACAGGTGTGAATTCGCATACTGTATGCGAGCGACGGTATTCAAACATTTCCGAGAGCGATGTAAGTTAACAGTTATAAATAATGCATTCTAAGTAAAATGCACAACTTTTGCAATATAAGTAAAAAGTGACAGTGGACATTTAAACGGTTTCAGATATTTCTACGTATATTGTTTCAGGATGGGTGTAACGGATTTATTACATCGTATAAATTAGAACAAGGATTGTGTTCAAAAAACGTCAATAGATGCAAAATTTTAAAAACAACTTCATTATTTTAAAATGCATGAATTCTAAGGAGCAACTACACAATGTATTTCCAACGAGAAAACTTTCCAAAGTGCATTGCAATGCAAAGTGCACAATGCTTACTGCATTTGTAAAACTTTACATTTTGTTTCATATTTAATTCGTCGATGTTATAGTTTTACAAACGTTATAAACTTTTGAAATTTTCATTTTTTAAATGTGGTAATAGTGAGAAATAAAGTTTTTTTATACATCCCAATGTAACAAATGTTCTCTATCTATACGATTATAATAAAGCGTAAACAAACACTTCTTTGTTGCCTAAGATTTCAGCAATCACAGCATATTTTTGAATAATTCTTTTTTTATTAAAAAGCCCTACACTTGCATCACGCTTTAGGCTATATATTTTAACGCCGTTAAACTTAGGGGTTTGGATAAAAACCCTAATGTGGGAAAGAGACCGTAAGTTGCCAACATCAAGGAAGCAAGGTTGTCGTTATGTCATGTCATTTTGACATTTGTAATTGATAATTTGACAAATATGCGGATGAAGTCGCACGGGAACAGCTAGTTTATTAAGTAAAGTTACACATACCCATACAAGGTTAATTTTGTCTTAATTAAACTAAAAGGAAGAGTGAGGTAATGCTCTTCGTTCAATCAGTCGTTGGAAGAAAATGATTCCACTAGCTGCATGAAGATTTTAAGAGTGTGCACACCTGAAACTAAACCATCGCACAACCGTTTAGTTTTGCTTTGATTCCTATGAGCTTATATGGAGGTGCGCACACTACTCGACTTTTAGTTGTGCAACTAAACAGTTGAATTTGCTGCAAAACAATCGACAATCGCTCAACAATAGTGCGATAGTTTACTCAAAGTTGTGCGCCCGCTCTAAAAAGACAGAAACCAAATACAATGAATTTATTTGAAATGTATAAACAATTTGCTATGATTTTAAAACTGAATGAATCATTTTTATTAGTAAATTTTGATCGCAATAAACCGATCCTTGTTCAAGCAATAAAACATTATACCGTTTAAATCTGTTTTACGATTCACCCGGAGGCCTAATTTCGAATTGACGTCGAGAAAAATATGATATACAATCAAGAAAATAGGTCAACGTTGAAGTAAATCGTGCATTAACGGCTCTATAAACAGATTTGATTAAAATATGCCTATGAATTAGTACAAGCGGATATCTGTTGATCTTCTTTTAACTACTTCATTATTTTTACATATGAATTACGATCTACATTAAGACTTACAGAGTAAAAAAATAATTAATATAACCAGCCAGTTTTATTTTTTTATAGACAGCTATTATAACAGTCGATTTCCACTGCAAACCATCCAATTAATTGTCTTAGGACAAACAGAGGAAACACATAGCAGGTGCCACGGCATATAACTACGGTTACCAATTGTATTGAATTACTACTGCGAATGTTACCACAAACTCAATATAACTTTGTTCAATGTGAAAATGTCAACAAGTTATCCGTCAGCAAAAGAAGGTATCCAATTATTAAAAACTAGCTTTCGCCCGCGACTCCGTCCGCGTGGAATTAAAAAAAAAATGAATAGCCTATGTGTTCTTCCAGAGTATCTTGTCTATGTCAAATTTCACCGAGATCCGTTCAGTCGTTTTGGCTACAAACTCTAACAAACATCCATCCATCCATCTAAACTTTCGCATTTATAATATTAGTAAGATATATAACACTGTTGTGTCTTTGTAGACCGGAGTTATTCAATATGGGTAGGTAATTTATTTCGTTGTCTTGTTAGTGACAGATAGATAAATACAGAGATAAGTACTTTGGCCTGGGGCCACTGAACCGTTGAATTAACCAACGTTTTATCCTTAAATTTCGAACAACGTTGTGTTTTCGTAACAGAGTTTTGGTAAATGATTTCAAACTAATTGTGAATATCGAAAACAACTAAACTGTTATTTTAGCTATTAATTTGATGTCACACGAATTAAATAACATTTAAATAATGTTAGCATGTGTACTAATCTATACTTAATATTAT